GGTGCTCTCTCTACTACTGAACCTCCTCCCTTTAAGCCTTGTATTTTTGCGGGTCTGTAACCAGAAGTGCCTGCGGTTATCACCAGCACGAGCCTCATCAAGGCGTGGCCCTTGGAATGCAAGCAGCAGGTGCCAAGTCCCTGCTATCAGGGTTGGAGATCCGTTGTGTGTGTGAGACCTGTGGCCGACGGTGAGGGTTCTAGCATCTCAGCACCTAGGTTCCATTCTTTTGTCCTTGCTGTTGCGCTAGGTGTAGCCAGGTCTGAATGGGAGCTGTGGTCTTATGTGAATGCTTTTGTGTAGGACTATTTTAGGACATCTCTGCCATCTTGAATTCAAAAAATAAATAAATAAGTCTAGTGTTTTCAATGCCATTTTCCCATCAGACAGGTCAAAACCCACACCCTAGAATGTGAATGTATGTACTGAGTATGTATGCCGTGCTTCCCCTCAACCAACTAGATTTTTGGAAATTAAGACAAGAAAAAGAAAGGGAATTCCCCGTGCTGTACAATGGGAGAGTGAGGTACGGTACAGAATGTGAAATGTTGACATGTGTGCTGTCAATGGAAGGTTCATTTACATGAACCGTGGTCTGTTCTTAGCAATTAAAAAAAAAAAAAACCTACACTCAGCAAATCATACTCCAAATAAATCTTCAACTATGATTGAATTAGAAAGATGGATGGGAGAAAATGTACTACAGGAAAAGGATTTTGAGTATGCCAAGGATTTTGTATGCCATGGATCGGGGTGGGGGTGACAGTATTTATAATGTGCAGTTTTAGGGCCCCGAGTGTGGACGGTTACCGTGTAAAACGGCAATGTGGTTACGATATCTAAGTGGGAAATAGGACTATTTTGCTATAGTAAAGGGTCCAGGTACGAGGAGTTCAATAGAGAGAACAAAAGCATACATTCTGGAAGTCAGAGACCAAGTCATGAAAAAATGACTTGGACAGTCATTTCTAATATAAAATTGAGGGGATGTCTGCAGCGTGGATCTGGGGAGATAAAAGGGAGACAAAAGTAGGTGGCTGAATTATTTTTTGCCCTACTTTCTTTGATTTCTGGATAGAATTTTTTTAAAAAAAAATCAAAACATTGTATTGGGCTGAGCATGAGTTCCGTTGGTAGAGCGCTTGCCTTGAACACACAACAGGTCGCTTGGTTCCATTCCGAGCACCGCTGGTTCAATTCCCAGCACCGAGTGAACCTGATGGGGTGGTGTACACATTCCTGTAATTCCAGCTCTCAAAAGGTGGCTGTAGGAGCTTTGTAGGAACTTCAAAGTTAGCAATTACTCAATGAGTTCAAGGCTAGCCTGGGTTGTAAGAGAGCCTGTCTTGAAACAAGACATTTGTTATAAAAGATAAAGCAAAAAACAAAAGTTCTTTGAAGTCTTTTTTTCTATTCGAATACATGACTATTTGTGTGATTTTTTAAATTTTTTTTTAACGTTTAGCATATCACAGAGTTTTGAATATATTTTTACTTAAATTTAAATGTGCCATTAATCTTGTCCCCCCCTACAAACACATACACTTTTTTGGCGGAGGCAGGGGAGGGAAAGGGTCTTATAATTCAAGCTGATCTTGAACTTCCCACTCTCTCATCTCAGCCTCCTGAGTGCCTGGGATTATAGGTGCATCCCATTGTGCCCCACAACAATAACATTATATTGCTGAGATTTACGCTTATAGATCTATCAGCAATTTAAAAGTATATTCATTTATTTCTGATTTTAGTGCTAGGGATTGAACCGAGTACTTGTCCATGCTTAATAAACATGCTGCACTCTCAGCCTAGAGTCTTAAAAGTTGGTTTACATGAATTCTTCTTTGGTTTTGTTTTATCCAGCAGCGCGTTCCTTTTATGATTTAATATTTTATGTGCATGAGTATTTTGCCTACCTGTATATCTCTGCACCAAATGTATTCTTGGTGCTCCTGGAGACCAGAATAGGGTGTGAGATCCCCAACAAGAGTTACAGACAGATGTGAGCGCCATGTGGGTGTGGGGAATTGATCCCAGGTCTTCTAGAAGAACAGTCGGTGCTCTTAGCCGCTGATCAATCTCTCCACCCCTTCATGGATTCTTCATCTATTCCTTCACCACTATCCTATCTGAAGACTTACTTTGACAGATTTCTGCTTAACTTTTTTGATAGTCTTCATAGACACAAGATAGTATACATAAGGAATGGCCACATATAGATAATGGGTGTTGAAATAATATGCTCCTTGTCATGCACACTTGACAGTATACATAAGGAATGTCCATGTACTGAGAGTGTACGAGTTGATGAATGCTCAAATAATAAGTGGAGCATCATGACACCACTGCCTCCTTTCTGCTGTTCTCAAGTTCCTAGTTCTCACCCCAGATGACAGGCTCTTCATAACTGTAATAACCTAGGTCAGTTTCATCTGCCCGTTTTGTTTGCATGCCTTGAAGTTTCATTTGCATTCTCTTTTGGTGTCTGTCTTTTTTTTTTCTTCCTTCCGGCTTTGTGAGATTCATTTATATGGTTCCCTAGGGATTTTATTGTGACACAATATTTCGTGTGACTATATGACTCTTTTTAGGGCATACTGAAGTAGTGTCTGCTTTGAAATTACTGTAGTGCTCTTAAGAACCTTCAAGTGTGTGCCTTTGTTAAGCGTGTTTCTGTTGGGTATATACTTAGAAGTGGAAATACTGGATTATAGGAAATACATATATCTTACATAGATATTGTATAATATAAATACATATGTGGCTTACATAGATATTGTCACACATCATTCCATAACAGTTATCCAAACTCCTGTCAGCGATGTGTAAGAGGTGTCCTCATGCTACGTCCTTACCAGCGCTCTTTCGGTCCTTGTATCAGTCTGGTAGATGTGTAGTGGTGTCTCTGTGTGGTTTGCATTTCTGTATCTCTGATATGGAACTTAAGATGCTTAATGCTAGTTTAATGGCTAGTATGAGTTTCCCATTGGTTCTCTCTTATTAGTAATGAAACTATATACCTATATATAGACCTTAATTGTATATCTACCCCACATCCCTTAGGCTGTATGTGACTTCTACCCATTTTTTATGAAATAAAATTTTATTCCACTTCTGTGTTTGTGTATGTACACACATGGAGGGCAGAAGATAACCCGCAGGAGCTGGCTCTCTGCTTCCACCATGTGTGGGCCCTCGGAACAGACACAGGCCCTCAGACTTGGCAGCAGTTACCTTTGCCCACTGAGCCATCTCGCTGTCAGTCTCTGCAAAGAACAGAATCGCCTAAATTCATTAAGATCCCCTTAATAGGTTTTTTTTTCTTTTATGGTTAATGCTCCAAAGAAATCCCTAAAAATCACAAAGATGTTTTCTCTAAAAGCTTTATCTGACCCTCTGCAATTGAACTATCATTTTTTTTCCCCATACGGTTATTTGGTTGACCTGGTAAAATCCCTTCCCACATTAAATTGTGTTGTCATTATTATAAATCAAAGTGCCATTTTATTTTATTGAGACCGGCCTCATCATGTAGTAGCTGGCCTTGAACTCACTATGTAGACCAGTCCAGGTCAGACCCCCAGAGATGGTGTCTTTGCCTCCTTGAATGCAGGGGTTGAAGGCAGTGAACCGCCACATCTGGCATCTCTCCACCCTTTTCAAAGTCTCACTGTGTAAGCCAGGATTTACTCAACAACTTGTGATCCCCCTGCCTCAGCCTCCAAGGTGGATTACAGTCATGTGCTATATCAGAGCTGGGCAAGCTTTTGCTTTTTTTCCCTTGTGCCATGTGATTCTCCTTTTACGTCTCTGGCTGTTCCTGGCTCACTGTTCCTTATGACTTTGAAAATGATGAGCCTGTGAATTTCAGTTCTTAACAAACCCAGTGAGATTTTGTTTGAAATTACATTAAATCTGTAGATTGGTTTTAGGAAATGTGACATTTTTGTAATATTGAATCTTCTAATACAAAACACTTATTGCCTACCTTTTGTCTTTGTTGCTTCATATTGAACCAAGAACTTTGTACATGTTAAGCATATTCTCTACCGTCCAGCTGTGCCCTCAGCATTTTTAGAGTCAGGCAGCCTCCCATCTCTTTCTGTGTTCTGATACTGATTTTAAAAATTCAGACTTATCTCTTCCTTGAAAGTAGAGCCAAATTGGCCTGTAAAGATAGTCATTTCCTCAAAAGGAAAGTAGATGTAATCTGTCAGTTTGATTCTAGTTATAATTTTATATTTTGATTTTTTTTTCTTTGAGAGATAGTCTAATAAAAGGTGTGGACTCTATAACAGGAATTTCTATTTCAGCTACATACTAGTTGATGTGACTTTGAGCAAGTTACTGTCTACGCTTTAAGTTTCTCCATAGGGCATGGAAATAGTGAAATTGACTGCCGAGAGCCTTGGTAAATCGTAAATGGCCGACTCCAGTTGCTTAGACCAGGGCCTCCTACATTATAAGCATCCAGCAGGTGTTATTGAAGTCTTCTAGCAAACTCTCCTATATTTCAGTCAATACTTTTCTTCCCCTTCGTTTCTTTGAGGCAGGGTTTCCATCTGTAGCCCAGGTTGGTCTTAAACTAGTGGTATT